GCCTTTCTTGATAGAGATGTATTGATTGAATGCATCTCTTTGAGGAGATGCTGTTTGGCTTGTGCTGGCTCTGCCCCTAATATGCCTCCTTGACAGTCTCATCCAATCCTATGTGAAAGCATTGTGATTGCCTCAGACCACCACTTCTGATGATGTTAGCAGAGTAGGCAGATCAGGGGCAAATGCAGCAGCTGCAGACTTGAATACAAGTAAGATTTTACTATATTTATGGTGTCCAGCTAGATGGTGGTTTTAACACTACAGGGACAGGCAGTGCTCCTCCTCAACCCTCTCCTCAAGGCACACCTAACCGTCCGTGATTTAGGGATTATCCAGGTGTGTCTAAAGTTTAAAAAAAAAAAAACAGAACAAACTACTAAAAACACCTTAGACTCTGAGGTTTTTTTCTTTCTCTAAACACCTTACACACACCCGGGTAATACCTAAACCCTGGACTGTTAGGTGTGCTTTGAGGAGAGGGTTGAGGAGCACTTGGATCAGGAATATATGCGTGTGTTCCTCACCCTATAGTGTTCCTTTAAGCTGTAGTTGTTCTGTCGACTATAGTTTCCCTTAAAATAAAACTGAACATGAATGTATTTCTAAAGTCAGCACATTGTTTATTTAAGAGACTCAACAAGCTGTAACTTACCCTCCATTTTTAATGCAGTATTTAGATAAAGTACTCATCTTCTGCTGCTAATCCACAATCAAGACCAGGAAGATACTCTGCCAATCAGGAGTAACTGATTGTGACCTATAGAATCTGATCTTGTCCCATAAATCTTTGTCTTGCAGTGTATTATGAAGCACCTGCTGAAGTTCCTGTGATCTAATGAGTAGAACTACCGAGTAAACTGATAGCTTACACTCTAGCATACATACACCATAAAAGTGGGAATTAAAAATGAGGACCTCCTTGCACCATTACCTGTGCAATGATCATTGATTTTAAAACGGTACACTTGCACTTAAGGGCTGCATGTCGTAAAATGAAGACTGATTACTACTTTTATTGACCAATGCCCTGTTAATGTGCATTAACTTTAATGAAAAAACTGATCCTGAGGTTTCTTTATCATTGTAATAAACTGTATGACCACTGGATGTCACTGTGGCAATGCATTCAATCTAGTACTTTTTAAATGATTCTAATACCCACATCTAGAGAGCTTTGCATAGATTAGAAATGAAATAGTCATTAAGGCTTAATTTGTATAGTTACCAAATCGTACATAGATCATTATAAAATCGTCAAATGGTATATTAAACATTTGAATCAGGTGAACTCACATTGGGATGATGTAGCAACTGGGGGAAGGAGAAGTAGAGGTCAGGGCTAAGTATAAAACAGCTGGGGAGGAGGAAGAGGGGCTGTAAGATGACCTGTGCTAAGAGAGACTAATGAGGAGGTCAGAAATATTGAAAATGATTTTAAAATTAAAACTAATTACTATATTAAAGCGGCACTGTCAAACCGAATTTACCTTTCCTCAATCTCTTTCTCTTTCCTACTTCTATATTTTTTTTAAAATTTTCCATCTATTTTTTACTAAAAACATAAGACAAAGGGACTACTTTGTCTTATGTATTTTTCCTATGCTTGACTTTCATTGACACAAGGAGGAGCTTACTTCAGCTAAACGTCCTGTGTCAAAGAAAGTTTTTCCACAGTAATCAACATAGAAACATAGAATGTGACGGCAGATAAGAACCATGCGGCCCATCTAGTCTGCCCAATTTTCTAAATACTTTCATTAGTCCCTAGCCTTATCTTATGGTTAGGATAGCCTTATGCCTATCCCACGTATGCTTAAACTCCTTTACTGTGTTAACCTCTACCACTTCAGCTGGAAGGCTATTCCATGCATCCACTACCCTCTCAGTAAAGTAATACTTCTTGATATTATTTATAAACCTTTGTCCCTCTAATTTAAGACTAGGTTCTGCCATTTAACCAACAATGATTGGTTAAATAAATCTGTTAATGGTTTTGCTAATACACCACTAAGCTCTTTTAATAGCTTTGGGTGTATTCCATCAGGTCCCATTGACTTATTTGTCTTTATTTTTGACAGTTGAAATAGAACCTCTGTAAACTCACGTGTAATAAATGACTCATTTATCCTTTTTCTCAACTGAGGTCCCTTTCCTTCATTTTCATCTGTAAATACAGAACAAAAATATTCATTGAGGCAGTCAGCTAGACCTTTATCCTCTTCTACATACCTTCCTTCTTTTGGTTTTTATTTTTGTGTGCAAGGTATTACAAGCTGGCCGTGTTACCACAATAGCAGTCACGAGCATAATAACATCATACATGGTCAAACATGGCATATAGAGGATCTGCACAATTTTATATTATAACGTTTAAGTATGTGGAGCTCCAATATTCTTCACCGAGTGTGTTGTCAGATCTAGCAATAGGAGCAGTAAATAACAAGCATAGTTTGGAATTATAAGTAGCTTCACTGTAGCTTGTACAACATAGTGTTAAGTGTTTACAAGCTATAATCGCGTGAATGTCTGGTCGCTATTGTGTCGTTTGGGCTGTACAGTTGTACTCTAGCTTGGTCTGCCACGGGTACCGACTTGTAGTGTGTAGAATTTCATATGTCTGGCCTACCAATGCTCCCCTAGACGGGTCTGAGGTCTATGGTTGTGGGGGTTATTGTCAGGGCCTGCGTATAGTAGTAGTATCTGCGGCATTGTATGTCCGTCAAATGCGGTGTCATGGTGTGTGCGTTCGGTGTGCTCTGGATACTGGTGGTGCTGCATGGTTGTCAGGTAAGTCAAGGGGTATGTGGGGCTGCGGGTATAGTCTGTGGTTTCTGTGCTTGCAGGGATAGAACAGCTTTTCAAGCATCGGGCACAGAGTCCAGAGTTAGCCAATGCCTAGGCTTGGTGGTGAGCGGAGGGGGCTACAGGCGGTCTGATGGCAGAGTTCTGGTAAGCCCTCCTCAGGATCCTGGACTATCCTGGGGACCTGCATTTGTGGACCGTGAGTTTCGTTACTCCCGGAGAGGGCCGCGTTCTTCCCTGTGTAGGGGCTGTTGAAGGTCCTGGTGTAGAGTCTCCTTCTGTGGCGTCGGATCCTCCGCGCCTGTGGCTGATGTTCCAGGGGTAATCCCCTGGTTGTTTTCCGCCTGAGTGGGCTCATCTTGTAATGTTTTGTGTTCTGTGTGCTGGGAGTACCCAGGGGGTACCCCCTCGTTTCCCGCCCTTTGTCTCTCCGCTTGCGTTTCATTGCCAGAGCTTGTAGGCGCTTGGAGTGGGTAGTTGGCTTTCCCCTGGGGCATGCTGGGTGCGCAAGTAGGTTCTGCCATTTGGGTGTGCTTGCGCTCTTTAGTGGTTCGCTCTCTGCCTGCCCATGTGGCTGCGGGATATCCGCCATTTTGGAGCATGCCATCTGGGTTGAATTCTGTGGCTTAATTTGAACTTGGGCCAGGCAGTTGTCGGTGTTGCTTGCCAGTGGGGACCGGGATAACCCCCGCCGGTCCAAAGGGGGGGGGGACAGCGGGAAGCCGTTCGGAGAACCGGGGGAGCGGCCGTCTCACCCCGGCTCAAGCTCAGGTAGGCCCCAGGTCTCGGTCGGGTTACTCCAGTGCCGTATCGAGTCAGAAGCGGTATCATCGTGTGCGCCCTCATCTTGTGAGTAGATTGGGTGTCAGTTTGGGACTGTGGCTACTGATGGCACGGAGTTAGCTCCGAATTTCTGGCCCAGGTGTCAGAGCTCAGACAGGACATGTCTGATCTGTTCAGCGGTCAGGCTCCGCCCCCCCTTCTTTTGTTTTTAATCTAACTAATCCTTGTTTTACTTTTCTTTTCTCATTTATGTATCTAAAAAATGTTTTATCCCCCTTTTTTACTGACTGTGCTATTTTCTCTTCTGTGTGTGAATTGGAAGCTCTTATAACTTGCTTAGCCTCTTTCTGCCTAATTTTATAGATCATTTTGTCTTCCTCACTCTGGGTTTTTTATAATTCCTAAATGCTAACTTTTTGTTTTTAACTATTTTGGCCACATCTGTGGAGTACCACAGTGGTTTCTTGAATTTTTTGCTTTTACTGACAAGCCTAATGCAATTTTCTGTTGCCTTCAATAGTGCAACTTTTAAATAATCCCATTTCTTTTGGACTCCATTTAAATTGCTCCTGTCTGATAATGACTCCTCTACCCATATTCTAATTTTAGACAAGTCTGTTTTTCTAAAGTCTAAAACTTTTGTTTTTGTGTGGTGTGACTCAGTCACTGTTCTTATATTAAACCACACTGACTGATGATCACTGGATCCTAAACTTTCACCTACAGTAATATCTGATACCCAATCTCCATTTGTTAACACTAAATCTAGTATGGCCTCTTTACGAGTTGGCTCCTCAACAACTTGTTTTAGAGACAACCCCAGTAGGGAGTTTAGAATATGTGTGCTCCTGGCACAAGTAGCTAATTTGGTTTTCCAATTTACATCAGGAAGATTAAAGTCACCCATGATGATAACTTCCCTCTTCATTGTCATTTTAGCTATTTCCTCAACTAGTAGATTATCTAACTCTTCAATTTGTCCTGGGGGCCTATAAATCAGACCTACACGAGTTACTGTGTGATTACCAAATTCTAACGTAACCCAAACGGACTCTATGTTTGCCTCACTAACTTTTATTAGGCTAGATTTTATGCTATCCTTCACATACAAGGACACCCCTCCCCCTTTCTTGCCTTCCTTATCTTTCCTATATAAAGAGTACCCTGGTATTGCTATGTCCCAGTCATTTTTCTCATTATACCATGTCTCAGTAACAGCGACTAAATTTACACTATCAGTTGCCATTATTGCCCCAAGTTCATGGATCTTATTCCCTAAACTGCGAGCATTTGTAGACATGACTCTAAGCTTATCATTTTTTAACACACTTGCTACAGGCACCTTCTGTCCTTGTTTTGGGGGACAATTGGATTGATGTTTTATCACCCTCTTGCCCCCCCCCCCCTCCTCCTAGTTTAAATACATCCTAGCAAAACCTCTGAACTTCTCACTGAGAACATTTGTTCCCTTTTGAGAAAGATGCAAGCCATCTTTTTTGTACAGCTTATCTCCATTCCAAACAGAGCTACCATTAGAAATAAAGCCAAATCCTTGCTCCCGACACCATTCACCAAGCCACAAATTAAAGTCCCTAATACGCATCCGCCTGTCGTTCCGTATTCTCGCATTGCCTTTCGCCATTTCCTGAACGTCCTGTCATCTAGACTAGAGCACCACTGAAATTACAGAATTGCATCCGAACAGCAATCCCACAAGTATTAAGAAGCTACCTACTAAAAAGCTGAAATCCAAAATTGGCTTTTCAGCCAACTTTCCTAATAGTAAGTAAAAATAACTAAAAATGAGGGAGGTTAAACTCTCCCTACTAAACAGTGAGCAGCCACTGCTGGTGTCTCCCTCCAGCCCCTACCTTTGGCCAGGCAGTGGGGGCTATTGAACAAAACAGGGGACCTAGTGTCCCTCCCAGCACCCACCCATTAGTGGTAGGTGGGGGCCTTAAATGGTAATGGATGGATTTTTATTTGACCTTTTAGGGGCTGAAAAAAAAAATATGAAAGGAAAAAACAAAACATTGAATGGTGAGCATTCATTTTTCTCCCCCCAGGAATTTTGTTTATTGTCCCCCCTCACTATTATTAGGGTGTTAGGAAGGGTATTTGTTTATTGGGTGGGTGACTAGGGGCGTTGGGAATTTTGTTTATTGTCCCCCTCTCACTATTATTAGGGTGGTAGGAAGGGTATTTGTTAATTTGGTGGGTGACTAGGGGCTTCGGGACCCCTAGTCAATGAGTGGGGTGACTAGGGGCTTCGGACCACAAGTAACTGGGGGGTTTGTTATTTTTAGTTAGCTCCCACCTGCTGTGAATTGGTGGGGATAATAGTTACCCCCAGTTATTAGTTTGGGACTCCCACCCACCTTTAATGGATGGGGACTGGGGGGACCACCATTATCATTAAGGGTTCCAACCCACCGCTAATGGGTGGGGCCATTATCATTTAGAGCCCCCCAACTGTTACTAATAGGTGGGGGAAAATAGGTCCAAGGAGAACCTCCTTTGAGTGGGGGTCCAAGGAGAACCTCCTTTGTCATTTAGAGCTTCCACCTGTTGCCAATGGGAGGGTGTTGTGCAGGAAGGTAGGTCCCCCCCCCCCATCACTTGGTGCCCCCATCTGCTGCTAATGGATGGTGGCTGGGGCACACACCAGGTCCCCTGTTTAGTTTGTGGGGGCACGGGTGGGTGCTGGAGGGGGACACTATATACCCCCCATGTTAATTATTTTAATAAATGCTGTCAGGGGGAGGAGGCTTTGTTTACTGTTTAGTAGACATGTCACCACTCGCAGCACAGCAAGAGAATTTTTATTTAGACACTTCAAAGTGGATCTGCTGTTATTCTGACATCTTAAAATTCTGTATTAAAATTGCTTATTTTTGTTATTTATTTATTTTTATACAGAATTAATACTGGTATAAAACTAGGGGCTACATCTCTGATTTTTCTTTTGTGATACCCAGTACATTTATTCATCTCTTTCAAAAGAAGACTCTCTCCTGTACCTCAGTCTTCCAATTGTGTCTCTTCCCTTTATCTCTGTACCCCAGGTGTGTCTCTCCCCTTTAACTCCGCCAGTTGTGTTTCTCCACTTAATCTGTCTCCCAGTTATTCCCAGGGAATAATTGTCTGAACCAGAACTAGTATATTACCAAGTTTCAATATAAAATTTACATGCGTATTCTAAAAGAAGAGACAGAGGGACATTATACATAAATCTACCTGTCTATAGTGCAAAGTCTAATATAAAATATTGGAAATCCAACTAAATTAGATTTTGGAGTGATGAGAGATGCCCTTATAATACTTTCTTAAAATATGTTAAAATGAGCTAATGGCATATATATTTGGTTCATAAATGTAAATTCACTAAAATTGCCCTTCATGTCACATTTCTGGGGAACAGGTCAATGCTATGGATTGGGAAAGTGGATTGCAAAAGTAAGACAAACCTAACCATGGCCTCATTTTAATATTGTTGGATAAGCTACCCAAATGATTTCATATTTTTTGGATAAACTTTTAAAAAGTTTTAATGTTGTAATATTTTGATATTTGTTAATGTATTGATATCTATTTTTATTTATTTTAATAAAATATTTGGAAAGCTTCTACAAAAATATTGAATCAATTTTTTTTTTTTTCAAAAATACCAAACTAGAGAATGCATTCCATTCTGTTATCCTGGCCTTACGCTTTTGATTTAGAATCATAGTGCACTATTTAGTAAATAAACCCCTGTTGTTTAATGCATTCAATCTCTTTTATGACAGTTATTGTTTAGAATTCTTCAGTTCAGCCACTTGCTCTATAACACAGCTCTTAATTTGTATTCAATAGCCAAAATACACAAATTAATAATTATGATTAATTAGATCTGCAACAAATCCAATTATCATAATTGTTACGTCAACATAAAAGGGCACAATTCAGTCTTCTATAGTATGTTCTAAGAGACTCCGCTTTTATTGCTATACTTGGTTCTCCCAATGGACACATGTGACATGCTGTATTTTAAAAGACAAAGAATGGGCTAAAATGTAAAACAGTAATATTTTATTTGCCATATCAGTTCCCACCTATATAAATATCAAAACACACAGAAAGGGTAATTTAGCTGAAATCCAGAAGACTTGATAGTCCTGTACAGTTATTAACACTTACAGGAAGGCATTTCAACATAAAAAATAAATACATTTATTTCCATATGAACTTTAAAATGCACATCTTGAAACAGAGAATGCTCAGAAGTAATAGGTAAAACCTACTGCACAAAATCAAAAAGGAGGTTTTTTTTAATAAACCCATTAAGTATACTGCATACAGCTGGAAACACCTACCATTCAATTTAGAAACAGTAAATGCTGCATCAGCAGATCAAATGAAAACAAGGACATTTCAATAAATCCACATTTTATAACTTGAAATCACACACAATTACCTTTTTCCCTGTTATCATCTTTTCCACGTCCCTAGCAATTTTTTGTCTTATGGACACAAACCTATAGGGAGTACTATGTAATTTGCAGTTTCAGTTTGATAATTGCTTGAATGCCTTGACCTTATGTTACTGGCTTGTTATTAACAATACCTTATCTTTTTTTGTTTAGAGGATAACAGTGATATTCTCCATATTAGTCCTTTGCCACACTAGCTACAGTTCTGCCTTAAATGTGGGTAAATCTGTTCTGAGCTCAAAACATTAGTATTGCACGGGGGCTGTGTTGAAGAATACTTTATCTCCTAAACCAGTTGATAAAAATTTAAACTTTTTTATATATACATTTTTAATGAGAATGAATCTGAATTCACATACTGTAAATGTAAACAATGGTCCATAGAAGCACAATAGTACACCCTGCTGGTTTTTCACAAGCAGGGGCTAAATCTCCTACATCTATTCATATGTGGGATTCCAATTTATCAGCTAAGACAGTAACAGCTTGTGACAAGCATGCATCGTAAGCGGTGTCACATTTTCCCACACCCTCATCCCTTCTCATTGCAATGTATGCAACATACCCTAGTGATCACTTATTGACTGCAGGTGTGGTCGCCATAGGCCTGATCACTGTGCGTGAGGAGTTTCTTCAATTGTACCTTGATTAACAAGATGTCAGACAATTTTACAAACGCTAGGAAGCTTTATTAATTACAGGGCATTCCATTCCATTAAAATACATGCAAGAAAAATGAAAAATAATAAAAGTTTTTTTAAAATATATTTATTTTAAGTTCTTGCAAAATTTCGGGGTGTGATTTACATTCAGTTCTTACCAAACCAGGAAGTGAATCATACGTCAAAGCTTTGTATAGCACTGCTAAACGTTTCTTTAAAGCAGTGTTTCATGGGTCATTACAAGGTTTTCTGGGATGTTTTGTGTAATTGTTCACGTTCTTCTGTAGAAAGTTAATAGCTGTCATGACATAATTCACAGCGGTATTTTTGGAGTGGAAAAGAAAACACTTAAGGATTCAAGAGATGTGACAGAAATAGTAGAATTATTAGCTATTAAGTATTATTTATTAATAACAATTCAAACTTTAATGCGACCTTATCAATTCACCTTTAATGCAATCTGTGCATTCTCTTAAAGGACCACTATAGTGCCAGGAAAACAGACTTGTTTTCCTGACACTATAGGGTCTTTGGGTCCCCCCACCTTCAGGGTCCCACTCCCGCCGGGCTCAAGAGGGGTTAAACACTTACCCTTCTCCAGCGCCGGGCTCCCTCTGCGTTTGGGAAATCTCCTCCCTCTTCCGACGTCAGCGCTGAATGCGCATGCGCATTCAGTCATTCCATAGGAAAGCATTCTCACTGTGATTTTCACAGTGAGAAGCGCGAAAGTCCCTCTAGCGGCAGTCAATGAGACAGCCACTAGAGGCTGGATTAACCCTCAGTGAAGCATAGTTTTCAGCTGCAGGGTTAACCCTAGATGGACCTGGCACCCAGACCACTTCAATGAGCTGAAGTGGTCTGGGTGCCTATAGTGGTACTTTAACTATCCGGCTAGACACCATATATTGGATATATGGGTGCAAGATACATTTTTGGGTAGTTTAGAATATTTAGTGTTTTTGTATTTATGTATCCAATATATGAAAAAAAAGTCTAAAAAATTCCCGTCCTAAGAAAAGTGATAACAGGGACGTTCCATGATGCAGAAACCACAACCCATATTATTAACATAAGAATTGAAATACAGTGATCTCACTGAACTGGATTAAACCCACATTACACATTTATACAAAATTGTTCTTTACTCCACGCACATTGCTTGTTTTATCAGAACACTGGCCTTATTTTGAGACTACGTTCATTAAAGATTAAAGACTGGGGAGTAGCAGCTCTGATCATTATGCGCAGAGATTGAACTGTGCCGTTGCACTTGTCAGTGATATTCGCTTAGAGGAAAAGGGTACAGGTGTTACATTAGCCGTAATGTTCCATTTTGTCATATCTCGTGCTCTATTCTCTGTAGGTTTCATCCTTTCCACTAAATAATAATAATGATCGTGCAGCTTGTCATCTGCGTCAGCAACTATAGCATGACCCAAATTAACTGTATCACTATGCTTACAATCCCCTTAAGAGTAGTAATAGGTATGCAGATATACAGAAGTTGTGTACCGACCCTGAATATAAAACAAGGGAATATTGCACACACCCTGAATCCAGTTTATATTATCTTATGCATTAGATTTAATCTATGGTGGTTTACATTCAGACCAAGAAATTTAAAAAGGCTGAAGATGGATAACAGCCATGTGATGGAGTGTAATCAGATGATAACTTATTTATTACAATTTCCAAGCACTCAGTGTTTGGCTTTGAGTAATAGAGATTCCCCTGATGTTCTCTATTGAATCCCTGTCTTTCCAACTTGAACTTAAATGTATTTACCTGATTTTACCGCTTTGAGATAGGAAACTCATTGGGGGATTCTGTAGCTCTTTACGTTGCGAGTAATGAAATATGTCTGGATTGCAAATTGTGAAGATTCTCAATACCTGCTCATTTACAAAATGTGACACATGGGCATCTAAAGCTCATTGATGCACGTGGGGAGTGAGTGAAGGCTAGCCCATCTGGCCCAAGCATACAGAAGCTCTAGCTCAAATTGTATGATAGAAAGGTGTCAGAACACTTAATGCATTGCAGTTTGCTGCGTATGGGGCTGCATAGCCCCAACTCCAAATCCGATCGAGCATCTGTGTGATGAGCTGGAACAACATGGAGACCCCAACTTGAAGGACTTAAATGATTTGCTGCAAATGTCTTAGTGCCAGAAACCACAAGACACATTCAGAGCATACTTTATAACTCCGGAGTCCTGAGAATTAGGACGCCGATGGGAGGGACACGATTGTGTCACTAGCTCCATCCCTAAATGGTCAGGCTGTTTCAGTGCTCCCTGGAGGGTCCTGGTGCCCTAAACATAGTACGAGTACATCTTATGATGTGCTAGTGTTATGATGGTTGGTGAAAGTTCCCTGGTTTCCCCAAAAGCAGAACAGCAGGAAACTAAGGCAGGACAGGGTTATGATCGAAAACTGGAATTGTCCCGCCAATGTCGGGGTGGTTGGGAGGCTTGTATTAGGTCTTGTGGAGTCCATGCCTTGACACATCAGAGCTATTTCGGAAGCACGAGGGGGACCAACACGATATTAGGTTGGTGGTTTTAGTGTTGTGGCTGATCAGTGTATTATGTCCACAGCCACACATTTTCCTGGCCAGATCGAACCCCTCTAAATTCTTTAAATAAAAGTTTAAACCCATTTTTTTTTCATATACAAGGGAATGCTGTGTGCTTTGCATGTAAAGCACACCTGGCAGGATTTAGTGATAAGGATATAGTAATAATGTGCTGCAGAAGAGATGTCGATTCATTGATCATGGAATAAATTCCATAGAATATATTGTATTTAATTAATGGATGAAGTTGAGTAAAACCAGAGGCACACCTAATACTATTTTTACCACCAAAGCTCTTACATATGGATTTTTTAAAAATATTATTCTCGCAGATTTATGTGCCATCACATCCACTGTAAGCCAAGCATTGCCTTGACATCCTCATATCTGATGTAAATTGTGAAAAAAATGTAATAAAAAAAAATAGCACAGCACAAAGCAAATATTTTGTTATGATTATTAACATTTATATAGCGCCAAATTATTCTGCAGCGCTTTACAATATTAGATAGCTCTTGGGTTGTGAAATAGTCTCAG